AGTCATATCACGAAGAGCTGCGAGGAGGATAACGTCTCGCCTAGAACGTTAGCCGAGCCAGTCTGGGCGACAATGTTGCAAAATAACACGAAGAGGAAAATGGTGAGATACATAGTACAACGCATTTTTTCAATCTTAAATTTCTCAGTCCTAAAAGATATCAATCATCTGTGTGATGGGTTTTCAAGACTTTTGATGCTATGTTATTAAGATAACGCGAAGTTACGAAAAAAATTATCGTCTAATTTATACATTTTCGCAAATATGGCAGAACTTACCAGTCATACTGTTCGCCGGCGAAGCTACGCATGACGAGTTCTACTCGACAACGCACGGAGCTTACGAGACGGGAATCCATCAAACTAAAGTATTTTTACAACATCATGCGAACATCAAGTAAATACATACATAGGTCGATATGTAAATATGTAAATACTAGCATAATACAATTTTTTAAATTTGCAGGAGCCATTGTCCTGTTTGTTACAAAATTAATAATAGTCATTATTAATAAGTCATTAATAATAAAATTTTCGTACTACTTTGTGTATGTATATGTTCCATGTAATAATTTATTATCAAATATATATAGTTCAATTTATTAAATATCAACTAATTTCCTATTTATTTAACAAATTTATTTAGTAACTTTTATTTCTTGTATTTCAACTTTGCGACTTCTACTTCTTCGCGCAACGCTGTGCATATCACATTTTCACTTTTTATTCCACAAGTATATTATTTCTTATGTCTCTACGTATTGGTGAGTATTACCGGAGCTTGCCTTTTTCCTGTTTTTTCGATATTTTCTTATCTCATCAATTTTTGCGGAATACACTAACTGGTTTATCCGCTTCGACCAATTGCGTCAGAATCGGTGATTTCCAATAGGCCAATCAAACGATCGAAGATGAACAGCGCCCACTTGACATCACTTGACATTTATCCTTGACGAATGTCAGTCCGCATCTATCCTTTCTTCTTTCCTTTCCTTTTTCTTATTTTGTCGCAAGAATGTTACGGAGCAAAGGCAGGCACTTCGTGTTTCAAAACGCATTCAGTCATACTACGAATATTCAAAATTTATGATCAGCAATTAATAAAACATTACAACATTAAGAATTAAAATTAAATCTTTCATTGGTCCTGTTACTAAGAACTTTTTTTTAATATATCTAACATAACAATTATAAATTTGTATAATTGTGTTAACTTTGTGGATGAATAATGAAATATCCCTATTCAAAATATATTGCGTTTATAATTATACTTTATACTTGTAATACTTGCAAAGTTACTATTATGTTAAACACACTCTAAATCGTACTTTTGTTACAATTTTAACAGACATACAAAACTCTGTTGAGATGTTATAATTTAATTCTTAGTGTAATTTACGATTGCTACTTTGTTTTGTCAATTGCGATTGACCCTGCTACTGAAAATTGCAACGTTGATATCTCCGATAAAGTCATGACCTCGGGACTGTTAAGACTGGTTAGGACCGCTCCCCACCCTGATCTTCCACTCTTCTCTTCGTCTCTTTCTGCTTTTTTTTTACCTATCGCCTTCTTCCATTCCATGTTCTTCTCTGTAAAATTAGAAGGGAGAGATGGAAAAGAGAGACGCACGCAGATTCCACCGCCGTTAATCGTCGCAAATACATCAGTTTATCTCCGTCGCTAAATGCCTTGACATTGAATACTCTGTATCCTTGTGTCTCTTCAGTGATGGATTTTTGTTTCGACCTGGTTTCGATCTTCCTGATCCTTGATGTGGTTTTCATCCGGTCCGCTGGTAGGAAAAATTCAAGATTATTAATAATTAATAATAGGAACACTTCCTTCTCGTTATTAATAATTGTTTCAAGTGTTACTCATCGCCAGGGACGATCCTGTGGATTATTTTGCGTTATTGTTAGATGTCGTTATTTTATTTTTGTTGTGACGATTGTTATTTGTGATTGTGAACGTTATACGTTATTGTTAAAATCAAATAAATGTGAAATCCATGTATATAAAGAATGGATTTCTTGGATAGTGATATTTATATTGTTATAAAGGAGATTTTTAAATTCTCCGGTTATTTACATTTTTTTGAAATTTTTTTATTCTATAATTTTTATATTAGCAAACTTAAATTTTAACGCTATAAATTAAAATATAAAAAAGCAAATCGATATTATATATAATGTAAGATAATATAAAGGAGATAATATATACGTGTACAGTTTAAAAAAATATCTATATCTTTCTATAACTTTGTCCAATTTTTTTAGATGGTTTTCCGAAGAACTTAAACAAAGTTCAACTCAGTTCGGGCATCGGCAGCAATCCTTTTCTCCAACCGTCCGCGAATGTTCCTAGTGCTCAAAATCGGAATCCTTTCCTGCAACCGGTGAACAGCAACCACAATGGAAATGGAAACCCGTTCTTATCAAATAGCTTTACATCACCAACTTCTATGTCCAGTAATAATTATAATCCCACTCCTAATAGTATGCAACCGGTAAACAGCAACTATGGAAACGGAAACCCGTTCTTGTCAAATAGCTTTACATCACCGACTTCTATGTCTAATAATAATAATTATAATCCCACTCCTAATAGTATAAATAACGATCTCTTTCCTAATATTATGAACAATCCCTTCTTGAACCAGTTGAACCCTCCTAAAACCATTATAGATACAAGGGTTGATACAGATTCTTCCAGTTCATCAAGACCCGATACACAAAGCCATTACACACAACCAGTATTTAATACACCAACACCAGTTGATGATTTTACAACGTCTCCTACGCGTACTCCTCCTAAAATTCAACCTCCAATCTCACGTCCATTATTGGAGGATCTGATACCCATGAAGATCAGTCCAGTGAAAACGATATCAGAAATTAGTAAGTAAAATGTGATTGTATATTAGTATATTTCAAGAATTTGTAGGATTAAAAAATTTACAGATATAAAAGTCTAAAAACCTAATAATTTACACAAGTACACGTGTTTATAATGTAACAAATCAGACATTCAGATGTCTATAATGAAATGATCCATTTTTCTTTATACATTTAACATAAATCACAATCATATCTATAAAATAAATTTCAGAGTGCGATGAATATGTGGGAGAAATTGCGGGCACGACCCCGATAACGTCTCTGACTGGTTCATCGTCGGCCGTGATCGAGGTGAATAATGTCTGTGAGAACACGAATCGCTTGGTAGTCGGTGGCATCGAGGCCCGGGTCGGCGAGTTCCCTCACATGGTCGCCCTAGGTAGAAGCGGTTCCGAATTCATTCTGATGTGCGGCGGGACGCTGATTTCACATACCTGGGTTCTTTCCGCTGCGCATTGTACTTATGGGCCAGAGTATACTTCTGTCATTTTTTTTCGCTTTAAATAAAACTACTTAACTACTAATTTCGAAGCTATTCCTCAAGACACAATGTTTCTTCGAGAATTTTATAAATCCACCGATGTAGAATTTTAGAATGTAGAATTTTAGATATCCACTGATTTTTTAATTTAAACATATTAGAAATTACGGATCTAAAAAATCTATAATATTGATCTTGCAGTTATTTATGGAATGATTAATGAAATAAGTCCTTTACAATGTATCTTTTTGCAGCGGCGGCCCAACTCACGCAAGGATAGGCTTCCACAGATTGGCGGACCAGGAAGGCGTCACAGTTGCCGTTAAAAATACGACGAGACATCCAGATCACAAGCCACCCGCGATGTATGCGGACATAGCTTTGGTGCAGCTTGTGAACGACGTCACGTTTAGCACATCTGTACGACCCGCGTGTCTTTATCAGCAATACGATACCGTGCCTAGCAAGGCTTGGATTAGCGGCTGGGGCCTTAAAGAATTTGGTAGATAATCCGGTATTCCTCGCGCGAAAACTTAGGAGCTACGGAATCACGAAATTCGAAGATTCGTAGAGCTAAATGGATTTGAAAATCTAGATGTCCAAGAGCTCAGCATTTATTATGAATGTGATTTCTAATAGATGCAAAGCCCTTTATCATGGAAGATTTTTATAAGGCAAAAGTACCGATTCAAATTAAATAATTATGTGCTTTCAGGTGGAGAAGTTAGCGATCGACTGCAAAAAGCTCAACTGGATCTGGTAGACAATCTGTTTTGCACAAAACGGCACAACAGTTCCATAGAAGTTCCACACGGTGTCACACCGAGTATGATCTGTGCCGGCGATCCTGATGGCAACTGGACCAGAGACACTTGCCAAGGAGATTCGGGTGGTCCTCTGCAAATAATCCATCCTACGAGCCAGTGTCTCTTCCAAGTGATCGGTATCACCAGCTTCGGTCAGGGCTGCGCGATCATCGACATCCCCGGCGTTTATACCAGAGTTTCCCATTATCTTCCATGGATCGAAGATATTGTCTGGCCACGAAAATAATAATCGCAATTTATCCGACTTTTACGAAAGGTACAAAAACATCCTTTATTAAATTGTATTTGGCTAAAATCAAGTCTTACACAATTAGTTATCAAATAACTAGTCAGTCAAATTAATTGAAGACTAAGAAATTTATGGCATTTGCAAAAATTTTTTCTATTTTCTCATTATTTTATAACATGATGTCCATTTACCATGTAAGAATAATTTTGCAATTTCAGAAAAAGTTGACTCGCTCCAATTACATAGTCGAGAGAATTAGACAATTGCAAATGGTTAATTGTACATATGCCACTTCAATTAACTATGGTAGTGCAGTTGAACAGTCTGCGATTCTGACTAGAATATTGGAACGTAAGAAAAGAGAAATCGCGAAGAGGTATAAATTATAGAATGTGGGACTGACATTGACCTTCTAAACTTAAAAAAATCAAGAGATTTTGCTATCATGAATAGTTCGCCACGTAAGCCCGTCGCCGTAAGGGCCATGAGTCGATGGAAATAAGATATGCCACCAGTTTCTGCAACAACAAACATTAAATACATTATGAGAATAATATTAGACAATTTTTTAATGAGAATAATGCGAAAATGACATATTTGACGAAGTGCCAATAAATTATTTGTATGCTAACCAAAATTTGCAATAGTTATTATTAATTTCCAATTTCGCTCAAATTCGAAATTGTAGTCATCTTAAAGTTAAAAGAACATAAGCATCTCGAAGGTGAGATACATAATCAACATATTAAATGATGCATGAAGTTTAATTAACTTTGCAGTTTGACTTTTTTAACTAAATTGATCTTTCTGACTGAAAATTCTATAGAAGTGATATTATTTTATGAATATGTTCATTATTTTTCTCATTTAACTAGCCTATCATTAATGATTCATATTTCATTATTCAGTTGTTTGTATTTTAATCGGAGATTGCTACAGTATTTAACGTTTTTGTCTTGATAAAATTTCCAATACCTATTTTTTATTCCTAAGAACAATCTCCAGTTCTCTCTGGGCCCGAAGTCGTACGGATTCTGATAGAACTTATTCTGGGCTCGATACTTCTTTGATTCCGCGCTATTGATGTGCGCCTCAATGCTTGTCTCCCCCCGGGTGATGAGACCTGCGTGCCACCAGGCTAGGGCACCCAGCGCCGCAAATGTGGCGACACAGATCAAACCCGCGAAAATTATCAGTCTTTGTCGCCATTCTTTGGCCTCAGTTTCTGCCGCCTGTTTTGCTATTTCTGCCAGCTCCTCTTTGCTCAAGTGATCTAACGATTCTGTCTGTATAAATCAAGCGCACGCGTTTAACATTTTGCAAAAATGATAATTTGATAAGCATGTTTTATTAAATTGTTTGTCTAACGTACCATTGGGATTATTTCCGAATTATTGAGGCGCACCGGATGGCCGTCCAATTCCGGTTCCTGGTCAGGGAAGAACTCCTCGTAGGCAAGTCGTATACCGAATATCATGATAAACGTAACGCCAACTACGGTATAAACCATATATAGGAAGAAGTGCCGATGATTGTAGTGGCCGACGCAATTGTTTAACCATGCTGCACATTGATTAAGGAAAACTCTTCACAGGATGCTGCAGAAATCGCCCATTATAAATTCTCATTGATTTTAATTAATCTATAACGAATAATTAACTGATGAAAACTGACTGGATATACAAAAATAATCCATGAAATATGCAAGGATACGACAATGATGATCCATCTTGAGGATACATTTGTTGCAGACAGAACAGTGATGTGTTCTGGGTGGCTTTGGCTTGATGCATTTCTTGCAAATGCTCACAGCCTCCGGGATAAGGCCTCCCTGAGGTGGATTACCCGCTGGCACAGCCACGCCCATATAATAATGAAAGCAGACATTAACCAGCAGCCAGTTCCCGACTATCAATAAGATTATCGTCATCGATGGACTTCGTTCCCACCACCAGGGTAGGCCCAAGTAGTACGCAATGTACACAATGCTCAAGGTCAGCAGGCTCACCATCACCAGGAACACCTGTGGACTGCAGCACTTAGTAAATACATTGTGGATGTTGTGAAGTTTGTGTTATATAAAATGAAGTATTGTGGAGTATTCTATGGAATATTATTCATCTAATTTGATAGACAATGATATTGTCATCCCCAAATATCACTCGTTATTGTGGTATACATGAATAAAATATATTAACTACAAAAGAAGAGCAACCACTTTAACGCTAATATAAAGAAACACAACCACAATAAAAAAATCTCTAAGAATATCTCAGTTAGTCAAGCTATGTCGATCCAGTCTGATTCTCTTTTTAAATTTGATGGCTTGTCATCACAAAGATCTGTTTTCAAGTATCAAAATGGTAGTATTGATTTTTTTTTAACTCAGCTGAGGCTCATGCCACAAGTATAATATTAGAATCGTGTTAAGAAAGCTAATGTGAGATTTTGAGGTACGATATAAGAAATAGTATTTAAAATCTTACCGGACCCAAAAAGGAGGTGAAGTTCTCGACAAACCAGAACATGGGTTCCATAAGTATATCACAAGCGTAACTCCAATTCAAGAAGTCATTGTAGAACAGGGATCTGAAGACAATTTGTAACCGCCACCACCGCCGCTTTAAACTAACCCTTAAAACAAGTGAAATCAGATTATACTCAGGTCCACATAAAATTATATAGCATAAAAGAGCAATAAGTGGTTGGATTAAAAATCAATAATTTTTAACAACAATGGATTGAAAGGATTGAATTCAATAATTTTTAACGCAATCGACATAGGCGGAAATCGGAAAAATAGAGATAAAATAAATTTGTTGCGCAATGAGATATATAATTTAACAGATGGAAGTTCGACAAGTGGAAAAATTTATCGGATTTACCGAAGAATGCTTGGCGCCTTCGCCAAGGTCGCCAGGGACCACTGTATCTTCGCCATTTTCGCGTTTGCCCTCGAGTCCGCTCACATGCACGTGCTCATAATTCTGACATATTAATTATATTGAAGTCATGTCTCGCGAACGCTCGTTCGGTCATCCTTAACGTCGCACTTTGCACACCTTGATAAGACATCCGATAAGGTGTTGTGACTGACAATCGCCGCCGCGGTGAGAAACGATAACCTCGAATACCTCGATCGATCCGCAAGTACGGCCTTGTCCGCCATATTTGTTTTCAGGAAAGGGTAGAAATGTCATCGAAAAAAATTATGACGTATAATGTTAGATATATTATTTATTACATACGTTCGCAAATCGAATTCTTGTAAATGTGAAATTATGTGACTTGTGTCAGAAAATAGGAGAAAACGCATAAGTATATGTATGTACAGACTTTCCCGCCATTTTTTGCAAGCGGCACTTTCAAACGTTATCAGAAACACTCCCGAATATGCAGAACTGTTTATTTGAGAATTTGTAACATACGTAAAAGAATTAAAACTATTAAAAATATAAAATATAATCGCACACATAAATGCTTACATATATTTTCATATTTTAAAAAATATAAAATTTAGGAGTTCGTTTAACATCAGTTTAATTTAAAATCTAAGAGAGAGAAAACATTGAATTCTGAAATTTTTGTTAAACGTTTAAAAATATAGATATCTTTAAATTTTAGATTTTTTATTATTAGACAAATGACATAGCGATTCGTCGTATAAAGGTAGATTTATTTTCTTATAGGTATGCACGAGTGTACATGCGTTTTAACAAAAGTGCATACACGTATATACACGCTACACGCTAATCTTGTTAGACACGCAAAAGGCGCATTTTGCGTTCACAACGCCGAAAAATTCGCAATTATATTTGCGAACGAGAATAAATTCATGGAATGCTTTTAACAGTCGATTATACATACATACATATATATATATATACTGATATACATATATATGTATATATAGCTATATATATATATATATATATATATATATAAGTATATATATATATAGCTCGTTTCTGTATAAGAAGGATTAAACCTTAAACTTCAACAATTTAAGAACGAGTGTAATAAGTGGTATTAACACTTTATCTGCCATGAAGAACTACATAAGAAGATACCTTTCTTTAGAAGTCAAACATAAAATATCTATAAATCAAAGAATGCTTAAAGAATTTCATGGGATCAAAGCGTTCCAGAAATAAAAAATTTCGCGAATAATCAAAATCGTACAAAGATCCGAGACTGCAATGAGGTAGACGAATTTAGGTCTTACAAGACAGTCTTAAAATAAAAAATATAGTGATATTAGGAGATCCGAAAAAAATAGGATATATTATTTTTGACGGCACGTATGGCAGACAACGAGTTACCTCAACTCCGATATAATAATTATATATTAATATAATTAATATTATATAATAATAAGGTACAGGATAATCACACGAGGTATAGGCCAAGGTAATAACAGGGCAACGTTGGTCTCCCTCACTTGGCCCGAGAAGAGTACTGCTTTGCAATCGATGACTTAAAAGTCCAAATTTGGCGTTCACGATAGTACATTAAGATTGAAAGATCAAATTTAGAAATCTTAAAAAGCTAGGGCAGACTTGCGCCTTCGAAGGGTCAATCGATTAATATCATTAACGATTCCAGAGGCTTAAACACCTCGGCAACACTACGTAAATATCATAGCAATCTTCTAAAAATATATGAGTCAACAAAACAGTTTCTAAGAAGAAAAAGACGTACATTTTCTGTGAAGTTATAAGAATAATTCGAGAGAGAGAGAAAGATTCTCGATTTCAATTAAATTACGAATACCCTTTCTGCCTTTGCAGATCAAATTCGTATCGATAACTTTTAATTCATCTATTTCTTGCAAGAAATTGAGCATTTGAACGGAGCGATGATCTACTTTCTCTGATATAATTAATAAATAATTTAATAATTTTGTATATAATAATTTAAGATACTTTATAACTTCAACGTTTCAAAAATTCTCAAAGCTGTGAAGCTTTAAGAAACTTTAAAGATGACTTTAATCATCGATTCTTTCAAATCCTCATCATTGAATCATGTATCGGAAGTGTTGTACTTGAAAGACTGGGTAGGTGTGTAAACGAGGTACGTACATATTTACAAAGACACGTGCGAAAGGGTTCTTCGGGGTCTTTTCTTAAAGATACGTCTCGAGCAATGACATTTTGGTCGCGTTTGATCTTCTCTAAACATTGAATTATTGGATTTTGCTTGTAAATCGTAAAATCGCGATTCGCAAACAGATTTAATTCGATTTTTCTGTCTTTTATATATTTTTTTTAACATTTTTACTCGATTTTATCGGTTTTTGTTTAAATGTATAATCGTTAAATCACTGAGAATTTGCGTATTCTCCTTATCTGCATAAAGAGAGGCGGGTAGATCGATGGAAAGGTTCATGATATTTTATAGTCATTGCTCAAAGCGTAGTTGATAATCTGTGATACTGAAATCTCCGATAAAACGTTAAGATCTCATAATACGGTATCCAGAGTATCAAGACTTCGCAACAATTGCTCGTCCTTGGAACACCATTGTACTAGCTCTTCGATGGTCACCACACCGTCCTTATTCGCGTCCATCAACTAAAAATATGCATGAGGTATTATTCTTAACCAATAATTAATACTTAACTTAATTGTAAATCATAAATTAAATGTGAAATACCGTTAATTACTGTCTATCATTAAGTATCATTACGACTAAATACAATAAATTAAAAAATCTGTTAAAGTACATCCTCTTCTAAACACATATATAAATAAGAGATATTTAAAATATTATAATTTCTTAGATCTTAGTGGATTGTGAAATTAGTAACTACTTAAGTCTTGGAGGATCGCAAAATGCTGCTGTCAATTATATAATTTACAAACTTTATCTCGTTATTAATTATCTTCAGGTATTTTTTAGGTATTTTTGTTCTAACCAGGTATCATATTAATACTCACGTGGAAGATGCGATCGACGTGTTCACGGGCGGCCGCATGCGGCTCAGGGATTTGCGGTTGCGTGTAACGGCCTAGCATGTCGTAAATGGAGCCGACGACATCCAGCATTTCCTCTTTGCTTATCAGACCATCGCCATCCAGATCGTACAGACCAAATACCCATTGCAGCTTCTCCTCCACCGACCCTCTTGACACCTTCGACAGTATAGTGAGGAACTCCTATTTAAAAAAAATTTCGAGCTCAGTTTGAAACTGTGGATTTTCTATAGAATGGAAACATTCGGTAAATTTAGAGCCGAGCTTGAAATGTCGCGTTGACATTTCTGCGTGCCTTTTAAAGCACTTGTCTGCGAAAACACGTCGCTCACCTCGAAGCTTATCTTGCCGGACGGTTTCCTCTTCATGGTGTTGAAGACATAATGAGCGTACTGACTTGCGTCTACAACACGTGATGATCAGAATGGTAATGATAATTTTAAAAAAATATATGTGCGACTTCTTCGTATAACGTAAACTCATTTACCGTAATAAAAAAGATAAGAATCTGAGAATTTAGAAAAAATCCTTATCCTTATAAGAAACCATGTAAATTAATTATCATTTTATTTTATTTCTGTCAATATAAAGTCAGGAAGTTTCAAGAATCTCATGTCACGAAATTTGAGAAAGAAGATGGAGACAGAACATTATTCAAAATTTTCGTTTTTTTTACAATAAAGATGATTATCTATTTTATCAAAAATTTACAATGATGGAAATAAGGACGCTTTATTGGTGTTATGTGGTTCAGCGATCTCTCGACATTATTATTCGTCATTATCATTCTCATCATCATCATCATCCCTTTATTACCTCCCTGCGGAAAGAATCGCGAGAAGATCTGCTTAAAGGCATCTTCGTCGACCAAACCGCTTGGGCACTCCTGCTTGAAACCCCGGTAGATCAGCTGGATCTCCTTCCGTGAGAATCTGGTGGTGGCCGCGAGGGTGGCGAGCTCCTCCGGCTTGTGTCGGCCACCAAGGGCGAGCGCGGCGCCCCCGGAGCTCCCTAAAACGCCCCCGAGTCCTTCAAGCTCTCCTTCTGCAAGTTCGCAAGCCCTTCACTCCTAAGACTGCGTCGCGCCTTCGAGATGCTCCCTCTCGGGCCTCCCTCCTCTCGTCGTCGAGCGCGGGGCAGCGACGCCCTTCGCACGAAGGGTTTCGGCAAAGTCCCGTCGCCCGCGATTGCCGAGAAGGGAGGTCTCCAGCAATTTTTTTTCTTTCTTACTTGAAAGAGATGGACACAAAGGGGTTCTTTTTTCCTTTGCTTTACTTTTTTTCTACTTTTGAGGGAATCATCGTGACCGTAGCATCCCTGAAGAAGGGATATACTCTACTCTAGAAGGGACCTACACAGTGCGCAAAGACTTGCAAGCGGAGAAGTCGTGAGAGGCGAGAGACAACAGGGGTGAAGAAAGATCGTGGTGGTTCGCACTACACGAAGTCGCTTGTTTTTTTTCTATATAATTACAAATTTACAAACTACGTTTTGTATATGAAAAACGAGAAAGATAAATAACTTGCAAAATAAAATCCAAATTTGAAAAAATTGAAAAAGACAGTAACAATTATTGCAACAGTATATTGCGACATATATTTAATTTTATCTTCAATTTTTATTGGTTACGGTTGTTTATTAAAATATTAATCAGTTTTTAACATCATTAATTGATAAATTATTTTTAATGGGCGACTCTGTCTCCATAGTGTAAATCATTCAAGAAGAGAACTGAGGAAGAGCGAAAGAGCTCCGAGAAAGAAGATATTGCGAGAATACATTGTTCATGTTCTAAGAGTGAAAGGAGTCCATTGTTACGGATTTTACAGTGCTAGGTGATTATGTTCCATAAAGAGATTTGATCAGAAATGTTTCATATGGTAAATGCAATTAATATACGTGCGTGCTTCCAATATCGCTCTGATAAGAAAATATATTTTACAAAAGCAGGAAACAATTCAACTTCTTTGTTAACAGAGATATAGACTATAAAATAGATGCAATATAGCAATTTTACCTTCGTTTTTAATATTTTTATCAATGTTATTTACTAACGAGTCGAAATCTAATGCTATATTACTAACTAATCAAACAACGATAGAAATTCGCTATTAGAAAGAGCTCAATATAATATCATAAGAGAACTACGAATTGTTTAAGCAATAATCTACGATATAATACAAGGGGTAGAATCTACAGATCTAAGGGAAAAAGAAGTAATCTAAAGAGTCAAAAGGAGATTAAAAAATGCAGGGGTTGGAAAGTCTGAACATTCAAGTCTTTGCAAACACACTTAAGGGCTGTAAATCTTGACCTAGATATTTGAGAGTTTAGAAATTTGGGGATTAAAAAATGTAAAAACGAGGCAGTTTAACAATCTGAGCAATCGAATTCAAGCAAGAATCAGGAATGGAAATTTTCATTACAAATTTGTGTCGTCTACAATTTACTAAATGATAACATGTCAAAAGTTACTTTCTAAAGAACTGCGACGTTCTGTTCATCCCCTACACATGCTGTGACTATTAGCTCTGGTCCCGGGTATCCGGGGTTGCCATGGTAACGTTGCAGCTCCTACCCCTTACTTCCTGACTACCCCTTCCTTTTATGAATGTTACGTGAATGTTCGTGAAGAAGTGCGCAGGAATCTTCGAGATAAGTTCTCCGAAGCGCAAATTTTGTATTTATAAAGAGATTAATCAAGTATTTAATGTATAATTATATATAGTTAGATAAAAAATTATGGAAAAAAAATTTTTTTAATTTCTGCGAACTAATCTGCTTATATAAGGCATTATCAATCTGCCGTTTTATTAAGAAATATCACATTGCAAGAAAGTACGATAGTATTTAAGAATCCATAGAATTAAGAAAAAAGAAATTAAAACTCTAGAGCTTCTAAAGATTTAAGAATAAAAAAATCTAATACTTAAATCTAATACTTAAAAATCCTAGATTCTATAATTAAAAAATAAAAGCTAAGATTTAAATATAGAAAAGTGTTACAAAAAGTGTTGTAAGAGTAGGCATTGCAGTTGATTAAAGAGATTAGAAAATTTGAGGTTCTAAGAATCTCGAAAAAGCTATAAGAATTAAGAGATGAGAATTATATAAAATGTTTAAAGGATTTTAAGAGGAAGCGAAGAGTTAAAGATTCAAGAGTTTCAATTACGGAATCTTAAAGTGCGACATCGCTGTAGAGAGATAGATGCACAATAGGTCGAGTGAGATGAAAGAGGAAGACTTCGTGAATTACAAAAGCCGAGTATTTAAACGCCGAAAGAATTCGAGAATCGATAAGCGAGACCTGGAAGATGAGGGAAAGAGTGTTATCCAAAAATATACATCTCCCAAGATATATCGAAAGGCTCCAACCAAGCCGACGCAGACATGACCTTTGACACATTAACACTCCTGGTGCGACACGGGGGTTGGACTCCGACCTACGCAAGAAACTACCATTCATAGAACAGGGGATTACTACATACAAATGGACAAGGACAAACAGATAATCAGGCCATTTCCACAGAGGTGGGAAAGGTGTGAGAGAAGAAGAGAAGAAGAGAGGGATCCTGGACGCTGATCACCGCACCTTGGTGCTGCATTCGGCAGTTATCACCCCCCGGCTGTCGCTCCGCTTGTCAACGACGCTCTCCGCTGAGTAGTCGATCGACTGGTCCAAGTATCAACGGCAGTGGCACGTATATCGAACGGTGCCGCACGGACACGAGGCGAGAAAGCAGGAGGAAGAGCTTGATCACCGAGCAGCCTTTCTTTCTTTCTCTTTACGGTCGTACTCGCTTTCCGAACTTACGTTTGTCGCGGCTCTTACGCGCCTTCATCGGCCAGCAATCGCGCAGATTGCTTGCTCGACCTGCCCCTGATATGTCGGCGGCCGGACGGGATTATCGGGATTATTCGATTCACCACCACTGATCGGCGTGACGCATCCCGAGACGCGCTCTCCGAACAAGGTGCTCCGCACGCGCACGGGGCGGTATATGAGAGAAGGAGAGAGCGAGATATACAGACAAAAGGCTTGGGACAACCACGCAGTTGCGGATGCTGCGCACAGGATACGCCGCTTTGGCTGCTGCGGTAGCTGTCCGTCCTTCGCGATGCTGAACGACGGCTGCGGATGACGTTACACTGCGCCGATGATTCCACACTGAATCACCGTGGGGGATCCGTGGAAAAACGTGCCATAAGTACGTCGCTTTCAACGCGCAAGTGCGACGATCTTCGACAGCCGGTGGTAGCGACGGTTCGACAAGAACTTCGAATCGTTACTTCGAGCACTAAAAAAGTCAAAAATTCTTAAAACTCTCCCCCAAATATCTGAAAAAATTTACATCCAGAGAGATATAATATTTTATATCTCTCTGTACATCTCTCTGCTTTTTCCTAATTGATACCTAAATGTTAGATATTGGAAACCAAGAAGTATTAAAATATACTTTGTCCAATGTTTATTACAAGTAGAATTAATTCTACTAGTCTGATTAAAAAATGTACACATATTCCAGCTTCTTCTAGTTGAAAAAATTAAGTCTATTTCGATTTAGCTACAAATTATACAGAATTTTCTCTAAAATTTGAATTTCTCACCAATAATAGAATTTAGAAAGAAAAGTAACAAAATAAATAAAACTTTAGTTAGTCATAATCGATAGTTGGATGAGAAGACCTCCAATAAAAGTTAAAAGCTTAAAAAATAGAGAAAGTTTTTTGAAACTCCTGAAAGGCTTTCTTAAAGACCTCGAAAGACTCCGAAACTCTCAAGAAACGGTAAACATTGTACTATATCATGAAACAGAACTGACAAGCGTCTCATCCCTAGCTGTTTTATTTCAATTTTGGCTCATCAGCATGCCCTTCCAATAATATACTCCATTATTAAAATAACCCGCTGAAATGTCACCGCAGCTGACAAGTCAGGCCACTTGCTAGTTGTCCCAATTTAAAAATAGATATTTGCTCGTTAATTCTGTGAATGACATAATTGCCGACAAATATTAATGCATATTTGATGATGAGTTATTAAGTTGTCAAGCACAGCTTGAAACATTGTACCAAATGTGAATAAAAATGAGTTTCTCTTTCTTAAAGCTTCTTAAACTCGATTCAAAGATTTTTTTCAAGAAATATATTTTCTCAAAGTTCGTTGGAAACGTTGAAATGCATGTGACAACTCGCTTTCTATCCGTAGGTATATCGATTCTATATACGAAGGTAAGTCGACGATGTAAAGCGGATCAATCCACATTGAATTTCGCAAAAATAGCGAACAGTTAATTAATTCACAGCGTTCTTAAGTTTATTTGCGTCATAAATCAGAGCACCAAACGTCAATATCGACGAAATGTTGTAATTGGTGCACTTAGAAGCTGTGATATCCTAATTATGGAATTGCAAATAAATAATCTGTTTCAAGCATCCATCATTTTTAACGCGTCTCATTGCGTCAGAGTTAATTATTTTCATCGGAGAGAGTATGTCTAAATTTTCTGATTTTGTTTAAAAAATCAAATTAATAAAGCTAAATTCTAATAGTTGCTTTCCATTTACATCAAAACTCAGATAATTCTCACTTGTGACGTCATAACTCACAATCAGTGAAATGCACTTGTTGTTCTTTTTGCATGCTGGCAAGTGAGATTCAACTGAGTTTTTATCCACAATCGAGAGACCATAATGCTTTAATGAATCTAATAAACTCACATTAAAAGTGAGGCTATGGACCTGTATTATTATGCGATAGCTTTGTCACCAAAATAAGCAGGTAAATACAAAATGATATATCTTACCTGAGTATAAAATACTCACATGAGTGACTCAGATCACTTGAGTGTAAATGGAAAGCAACTAATATCTACTCGTTGACACTTCTCGCTTTTATACTTCCTCTCCCATTATCCCTCAAAGCATAAAGTATTGTTGTACTGCACACGTACGTCTCGATCTCGGTCTCTTGTAAATTTTTTACGAGCTCTTGACGAACTTCTTTCCGCGTAAACAAACTCCGCAAGTCGATACGCAAAAGTAGCGCACAGAAAGAACCATTCCAATTCGCCTGCGACGCAGTTCGTCGTTTCACGTTGCTGCGATGTTGCTTTAATTGATATTTATTATTACATAGATTTCCTCCTTTTCTCCTTATACTTTCTCTCTTCCTCTCTCGTGTAACGTTTTCTGCAATATCATTTAAATTAAAATATTAAATGCCCTGGAAAATCAAAACCTGAAAGAGACGAACTGTTTATCTCATTTAACACTTTTTGACATCGCAAATTAATTAAGTTGCAAAAAACGGAGTAAAGAGTAAACGCAATAAAGCCATCAGTCAGTGTGATTAGATCTAAGTAAACTTTTCTCGTACCTATCACTACGCATCCCGCATGTTACGCACGTAATTTCACCGGGAGGCGTGATTAACACGTGTACCGGTAACATCTTGCCGGATAGTAATTGCGGACATAGACGTCAGACCGTCAGATAGCGAGAGGGGTGAGAGAACTCGGAGAACGCGTCTAATCATCACCATTTTCATGGTTTTCTTCATCTTTCCTCGCGATTTCACAGAGATCGCGTCCTCGCGATTGGGATTGGCGCAGATTGGCGCGCCATTTTTCGCTCGCGAGCGATTGGAGAGGATCCATTCGAGCCGGCGATCAATGATATCTCGATCTCGCGACGGGGACCAATCGATAAGCACCCCGCCGTTGATTGGTCCCGGCCTGCCGTTCCTCTCCACACTCCACCCCCTTCGATGGTCCGGCGAAAATCCTCAATTGCGCGCCCCCGGCGCCCCGCTGAGAACGCGACTTTACGGCGTTTCGCGCTCAAAAGTCACGGTCGGCTCGAATTCGAAAATCCACGAAAATCGGTTCGGGCGAGCGACGAAGCAGACGAAATTCCGCCATACAGCAGCAGCAGCAGCAACATGAACGTCGGCAGCGTCGGCGGCAGCGATATCGCGCATCTGTCCTACAAGGAGCTGCAGGCCCTGGCCCTGAGGTACCGCGTACCGGGTAACATCAAGGTGAGCTGTCACCCATCGTCCGCAACGATGAAGAAATCCCGACGATCGTTTTCCCTTCCCCGTCCGCTTCGATCCCTCACACGTCGCCGGTACCTATCTGGGTCCCCCCGAGCCGAGCGGCGATCTATTCGAACTCCCGTCGAAGATCGCGCCCCGATCGATCGGCGGTTGCGATCCAAGGGGCTCCCCGGAGAATCCGCGTAGCGTTCCCCGAGTCGTGGCAGTTGGGGACTGGGGAGTCGAGACCGGTGGCGCGGGGGTTAAAATCGCCGGATCTCTCGCGAGATCCCGGGTGGACGGGCAATTTGGGAATTCCTAACCAAGACTCGTTTACCTGAAGTTGCCGATCGCAACTTCGGAATCGCCGTCGTCACCGGTACAAGTGGCTGCCGGTAACGGATATTCGAACGCCGTCTCTGACACCCCTTCGCGTTCGCACGCCACCGCCCGAACGGACGTCGGACATGGATGACCGTCGCGAGGAGGCAGTCGCTCGCGTCCGCCAGGGACGAGTCGCTTCCTCTCGCCCGTGTAACGGGCGTAAACCTGGATCGCGATCCAGGGAAGTACGCGAGATCCTAACCAAAAATGACGCTATCAAACGCTATCAGCTCAGTCCGTTCCTCGCGGACTTCCCGCCCCCACTTCCCGTGCCCTGTTCTTTCCTTTCTGCCGCCTAAGGTCCGAATACGCGCTTCACTCTTCACTTCGCTTCGTTCCGAATGCCGAGAGTGTACAGCGAAGTACACAGCTGAAGCGAAATGAAGCTTAACCGTCGTTTTCATTATTCGTATATGCGTCTGCTAATTATTTTCGAGCTTTCTCTACTTTTTTTTTTTTTTTTTTTTTATAGTAGAGACGAAATATTGCCGAGAACTAATCGCCGATCGAGCCGCAGAATCTCATATTATACAAATATATTAATTATTAGCTACGATTCTGCTGTAATTTTTATACCAATGATCATTTGACTGCGAAATATGTTTAATTTCTGTCAGAATTGCGTTTATTACAATCCTCAACTTCGACATTCCCAAAGTCTCAATTCCAATATCTTCGGTAAATCACTTACTAAAGTTTCCACTTTTCAATACAAACGTTCCATATTTTTCTTTAAATCATAAATTAACAGTATGAAGAAATGATGGAAAAGTTAAATATAATTTTTAATTTAATTCATAACATTTTAAAGAGATTTTCTTTTTTTTATTTCTTCGATCCTTTTTCCCTTTTTTCTTCGATCTCTTCCACTTCTTCTAATTTAGCTGATTATCGCGGACGTTCGATTCCGTCGTCTCGTCACGACTTTAAATTGCAGAAGAAGGCGTTGATCAAGGTTCTGCAAGCCGCCAGAAGTGGAAATGACGCCGAATTTTGCCGGTTGCTGCAGGAGCTGAGGAAGAACCGCAAGAGGAAGGCGAGGAAGTCGAAGGACTCCAAGCTTGGGGTAACATCGACCCCGCTGCACAGTCCCGACTATATAATGGTCGATGACGACTATTATTGTCAGCAACAGCAACGTCAGTCGCAGCAACAGTTGCCTTATCAGTGGGTGAGTTGCCATAAGTTCCCGTGATTGATCGCAATATGATTTTATTGTACAAATCAAGTCACATTCTCATTCTTTCTCTCTTATCTCAGGCCAGTTCGTTTTAGTTCAACTTCTTGCACAGTTCACCTTTTCTCTTTTTCTCTCCAATGTGAGATAAACCGCACAAAAAGTTCAATTAAAACGAACAGGCCTCTTCTTTACTTCTATATTTCATTCATTTTCGCGACGCAGTGAGCAAGCGACAATGATTGACTTCGGACAAAGTGTTTCCCGTTTTTGCAGATCGGTGCAGAGGAGGAGATACCAACTAAAGAGGACGATACCAAGATTCCACATTACGAGGAGTTCAAGCAGTTACTACTTAAGAGGATTCAGCGAGAATTCCAAGCATGCGACAACAACAATAACCAAGTGGAAGATCTGAGTATCGTGAATCTGCGGACGGCGTCGATATCACCCAATCTTCAAACGATTCCTCTAGTCGAGCCAAGCTACCCGAAAGCGAATCTGATCAACGACACGGATCCTCTTGCGATCTCGTCGAACGACAGATCGAGTCATCAAGCATTGAAAGAATCTGAGGGAGGCTCACAGGGCTCGTTCCTGCTGAAGAGAATGCTACAGGCGCCGGTGGGCGCCAATCTAGGCGAGATCGCCAGCTCCATTTTCTGGGCTACCAATCTGTTGGATAATTCTGACACCCTGACCGCCGAGTCAGAGAGTAACGACACTGAAGATCAGCTGAACACGAATACCAATGAGTATTACAACCTGCTGAAGAATTCCAATGGCGAGTTTTTGCTAAATGAGGCAAACTTGATGCCTCAGCAGAGTTCGAGCGCACTGGCTGGTGACAATCAGTACAGGTTTCCCAGCGATATGAACAACCGGCCGAATCCCTACCAGAACTGGACGGTCACTAGCGTGATGGAGGTACCTGAAAGCGATCTACAATCCTCTAACGTGTTCCACGCGATCTACTACAACAACACGGATCCCACCGCTGCTGCCGCGAACGCGGACAACAATCTGGCTTATCAATATCGGACAGATACCGCTTGCAACGGCGGTCAAAACTTCTTCAACTTTGACACGCAGGACACCAACTACCACCTGACCGGCACAGACATGATGACTAACGACCCCTCTAATATTTATTATTTGCAAAATTTTAGCACACGCAACGGAGAGATGAGCACAGGATATTTTCGCAACGTTGACACATTCGAACAACAGAGCAACATGCAGCAAAATGTATATGCGAACGATCAACAGTATCAGTACCTTTATCCTCGATTCACTCAGGAGACGAACAATCTGTTGAACGAGAGACTCGAGCAACCGCAAAGCAATCTTATGGCACAGAAAATAATAGAAAATAATATTAATAATATTAATCAGGAAACTGGTATGGGGAATTTGCAGAGACCGGCAAATGGTGCGCGTTTGTTTTATTTACTTTTTTTATTGTTATAAATTATAATAGACGATATAAACAAAGATCGTAGAAAAAATAAATTTAAAAATAAAATATAAAGTGTGTATGTATATACATTTTTACATAAAAACGAAAAATCACATGTACTTTTCTTAAATAATATTAATTTTTCTCTTTTCAAAGAGCAGAATCTGTTTTCGTGATGTTTTAATTAAGCAATGTTTCATCAATCAGGAACAGTAGAGCCGTTCTGGCCAAAGTGGACTCCCGAGTCAAACAACAATCTGGAGAACATTCTCAACTATCACGTACCCAAGCAAGTGGATTACTCCAAGTTAAGTCAGACATCCTGCGTCTATTGCTACGTGGCGCCGATCGTCTCGCAACGATCCAATCTGGCAGTTAACGGCTGCTCGATCGAACGTAGATATACCGCTGAGCAGCGGCAACATTCCTTCTCGCCCTACTGGATGTTATACAACGACACTTCGCAAGGTATGCGAATGACGAATGTGCGCGGCAATCCGCTCGAGCAGTCTACGTCGACACGCGCAACCATCCTCGCTAACAACGACTATATGCAGGAGACCGCCCACAATGCTCCCATCAACGATGTGTGGATGAATGAGTACGACCCATCGTCCATCGCCGATGGCATGAACATTCAGGTCTCAGATCCGCTCTTTTTTAACATTACTGATCGGATTGACATTCCGAACGCGCCGGGCATAGCGAAGACTTAAAATTCGCGGGCGAGATACGACAATAAACAAGTATCTAGAATAAAATTGTGACTTTTTCAAGTGAAACGGATGGTGTTCAAACCGCGGAGTGACGATAATCCTCTTCCATTTCTAAGCCACGAAAGGATCTTGTTATTGTTTCAGTTTGGAATTGGGACAACCGAAGCCCATCCGTCTTTGTGTACCGTAACAATTGACGCCTCAGTAATTATTTTATGCGATTGCCGTGAGATGCACTAACGTTCTTCCGCTTCCGTATCATCGACGAGTGACACGCGCAATTATTTCACTTGTAACTGAAACGGGAGCGATATCCAGACAGAAAGCAATAGCAAACAGAAATGGAAGTTGAATAATCGATACCTTGGGAGATAGACGGACGGATCTATCTTTGAATGTACGCTTCTACTGCAGATCATTGGAAGTTCTCTTTTAAGGCAAAAACTTCAGAACTTGATATTGTGGAAAGGCAAATATATTCCGTGGATCGGAGATAAAACGATATAATACTTATATTAATTAAATACTTTTGAACTATTATTTACGTGAGATTGCAATATTGCGATGTGAGAGAAGGGTTTATATGTTTTTTTCATGTGTTTAGAGGAAAAGATTAGGATTTTTATATTACATATAGGATTTATATATATCTATATAATATATGTATAAATACATATATTTCACGTTTCCTATATATATTATATAGAAAATAAATATAAATAAGAAATTTATATAGACAAAAATAATTAATGAACGATAAATGGTGGAAGTTTCTTATACTTTTTAGTTAGATTGTGCAGTCGAGCTGCAGAATATTTTGTATATTAATAATATAATAAATAAAGTTCATGCATCAAAAAATCTACATGCGCACGTCCAATTTACGTACTTAACATATTTGCTAAAATACGTAAACACAGAAGTCGGCGAAATCTAGCGACTATAATCAAAGTTTAATAATTTATCGTGCAGGGTGTAGAACGCTAAACTTTTTCCGACTCACCCGACATAGCATCCGGCTGATTGTGAAACTGCGAGCGGATGTAGTTTATCAGCTTCACAGAAATCGATTCCTTCCTCCGTCCTGCATACGCTCTGATTTCGTTTTCCATGTCGTCCGAGGTCTTCTTTCGCTCCGCGGATCTTCCCGGTGTCACATGTACACTATACATTTTTCGTCGATACGCCGATTCGTAATAATTAAACCCCTCTGAAGCTTCTGAAATCCTTCGGAGAACGACACGTTTTTAGATTGCGCTTTATAATAACAAGATTTGCAAGCTTTACAAGCTTCAGTCATTTAATCCTAACAGAAAGATAAAAAATTTTAGTTTAAAACAATTTTCTTTGTAAACAATTTTTTTAAGCTTTTGAATCGATCAATAATTTAAGAGATTTCACCAATTCGCAATTTTACAGCACGAAAGCCGTATCGATTAATTTTACAATACAAAATAACTGCGAATTTACGATAGAAAACAATAATTTCACGGTACTTGGTGTAATTTTCGAATATAAATTTCCGATATAGTCGTATTTTATTCATTTAATTATCGCATAGAGTGCCGATCAACGGCTATTTCCGTCGCGATTTTGTTTGTCAACGAATCTCGAATTCGGACGAGTCTCAGTTCTCACTTCGTCTACGAATATTTTTCCGGCTTCTTTTCGCCTCGAGAGTCGAGAGGACGAAATCGGTGATGCGAGTCGGCGCGCCGTTCGCGAAAGACTGCGCTTGAAGTGCGTTAAAGGGAAGCAGGTAAACAGCAGTAGTTGCCTGTATGTATATGCATCCATATGTCGTAGGTGCAACCGGGTTGCATTCGAGTCGCGCGGTTTTAATGAGGTGCTCTGTGGCGCAATACGCTAATTATACAGAATGCTTCAGACACTTTTTTCGTAAGCTCTCCGTAAGCTCCTACTCACCGCAAGGACGCAAAACTTTGACCTAATTAACCGATACCGTAATTAGCCGTGCCTTTAAGTTTGATTATTTTGCACGTGTATTATCACTCTTATATTATATATCTTGTACAACTTTCTGCAATAAAACTGTCGTAATTTTGCAATTTTTTCATAGTATATGTTATGTGTAGTCTATAATCATTATATACAGTCTATTTCAATTATAAACTGGTATGCTAATTGTCTTGTAAGCTCTTATTAGTCACCTAATTTTTTAGGAATATTAATTGCATGTAGTAAGGGACAATATTGAAGTATATCTATTTTATATTTATTACAATCTATAATATAACAACTCATACTTATCACGCTTATCATTATTCGAGCAAGAATATAGAACACTTGTAAAACGTGCGAGTCCAGCAAAGTTTAGTTTTACTTTTACGAATAGTCTGGACGTAAGATTTTCAAATTTAACTTCGTTGCTCGACAGCCACTGGCTTTTGCGTCTCTTCGATTGGTGGAACCGGGGGATATTGCCCTTTGTGCCAATTTCCTTCCAAATCCAATGCGCGATTATGATCGACGACGTTTGCCAAACACTCCTCGATCGCGGCGTCTATGTTCTCCGCAGTGATGAACGTAACGGATTCTTCCTTGATTTTTCTGACCTTTTTGTTGAGCATCTCCTTCTTCATCTCCTGCCTCTGCTCTTGCCTCAGCAAACGCTGCAGGATCGCGTTTCTGTGATTCTCTCTCATCTCCGCCAGCCTGATCTCTCGTGTCTTCGCTACTTCTGCATTCCACTCGTCGTTTATAGCGCTGCACCTTTCAAAGTCCTCCTCTTCGCTCTGCTTACAAACTGTCTCGTCGGATCGTTGCTTGCCCTCCTCTGCAAGTTGCCTTACATATGCCCTGCAACATACCCGTTAATTTTCAAGCTACATATAGTTTCAGTAGCCAGAATTTTCTGTGTAAATTTGATCAGCCGAAGAGGTCAGAGTTATAGAACCACTTTGCGCACGTACCTAAACGATGTCATGTATGTCCTGTAATTATTATTCAAACGCTGGAGCTCCAATTTGTCCTCGACAGGTATAACAGGCCTTTTTGGTATTCGAAACACTTTGGACTTTGCTGTGGGCAGCCAAATTGGTTTCCTCTTCCAACGCACGCACTGCGTGTAAACGGAATTTGGGATGAAAGTCTCGCAGAGCCCAGCGGTACCCATCGTTAAGGAGTTGACTTTTATTAACCTCATGGCCTGCATTATTTCTAGAGCTATGAGAAGTATTGTTGTAAAAATTGTGCTATTTTCGGTCATTGTAATATTCATACATTGTTACTACATCATTTGTTTATAGAATTAAATCAGTCTGTGACATCTGTGACTGATCTTATTATCAAATGCAACGACTTCTTTGGATAAAGAGGTTCAACATATTCAACATATAATTGATTAACAATATAATATTGCAGCGAACGTTTTTTAAACAAACCAAAATTAAAGAAACGTACATAGAATATGTGGGATAATAATCTTATAAAAAACTTAGCACATAATGTAATACAGTACTGTATATATAATAAATAAATATTAATTAATAATAATAATTAATGACAAATACCATAATATGTCTTCGAATTAATAACACAAATATTTTCGCCGTATTTCCAACTTTGGTTATGTTACTCCGAAAAGTGAGGTTCTCGCTCTCGAAAAGTGAGGTTATGGTGTTTTCCTTTCTTTTCCCATGCATATCGATTCGCCGCGCCTGCGCATTCGAAATTAATATCAAATTGCATTTGTAATTATCACAATTAATAACTTTTACAAGGCAACACGCAGGTGTTTCCTTGCGATTTTACTGAGTTTTGTTGCACAGGCAGCACGGGATATGCTGTAATATAAATCAAAATAAATATAAATCTATGTATATTTTTAATATTATACTCATATGGTTCTTTTTTAACATATAATTTTACATTCCATATATATATACTTATCTTAGTTTTGATTGCTTTTTGACGATTTACAACTAAATAAAAATTGATAATATTTTATATATTTTCAAGATAAAAATATAAGTGCAAAAAGTTCATCTTCAATTGTGAATTGATTTGTGCAACATTCAATTAATTAAAAAAAAAAATTATTCCGTAAATTTAGTAAATTTCATAAGGCTATATTTTACACTCCACTTCGAACATTCTTTTAAAAAAATCGACTTTTATGAAAATATTGTCTTTTAAAACAGAGATTATTCCAGTATTGTTGAAGTTTTTCGAATACATAGTTCAATTTTTCTTTAAATGAGCCTTAATCTTGTTATAAAAAATTTGCAAGTTCTCGAAAGGTAGATAAAGATCGATCTATTAAAAAGAAGCAACATTTTCGAGAAATTTAAGCGCATCTCCCGGGATGAAGTCTCGATGCAGTAGAAAATGTTCAAAGGAGAGAGAGAAAGATCATTTATAGAATATGTTTATTGAAAATGATCGTGTATAATGCGATGTATCTATATAATGTACAACAACAAAATCGGATTCCGCGAAACACATTCATTCGAGCTCCCTCCGTGTCTTTCCTCCTCTCCCCTTTTTGTCCCTCTTCTCTCGAAATAGCAACACCCTGCTCGCACTATATACTAATTATCCTAACTACAATTAATGCGTAATTAATTAACCTTCGTCACCACGCGGTACGACAGCATGCATTCAACACAAACACGGATAAACCTTATCTCAACAATCGCCCTAAAAGTATTATCGCCGTATATGGTTATTATCATTATTGTTTTTCTCTTTTTTTTTTTTACTTTTTTCCCCTCCCTTTCCTCTTCCTCCTTCCGTTTCCTTTTTTACAAATGTGCCCGAACGCTGTAGAAATTACTTAAAATATATCTGCATCGACGATAATCACAGATATTAATTTGTATCTATACTAATCTCGGTCTTCTTTCCTTGTTTCCTCTTCTCTCCTCCCTCTTTGTTACGCCATTCGCGGATCGAACGTATAGTTATAATTTCGCGTATCGGTGAAAATCAGGATCCAATTGTAAATCGAACGGGGATCGCGACGTAATTCTATTCCTGCGACACGCAAGATTAACGGAAACAATTTTACGCAAGGATAATTACATCTCGTGCGCGCGGGACGCTCCGAAAAGACTTCGCGCGTTCCACATCATCAACTTCCGAAGACAGAAAAATCTCCCTTTTAATTCGCTTTTTAATTCTCCATTCGATCTCCCTTTTTCGGAACGTCCAGCGCAAGAAAGAAATCGAAATATCGCGTCACGCTCGTCGTATAAATTTTTTTTTAACAATTCGTAACATTGCAGCATCTCGTCGGGGGTATCTTTGGCTTAGACGCAGACCAGTTTGTGCCGTTTGCTACGAAGAAACGCAAGTAAGGAGATAAAAGATCCGTCTGTCTCGCAGTGATCCTTACGACGAAGAAATGACTTGTATAACGAACATCTCGCCTCAGTTTGTCGCCTTTCAGAAGTTTTGGGCTTCGAAAGTTGAAGGGCTCTGGGCAGTACCATGCTAAACGTTCTCCGGGCGATGAATGAAAAAAAAATGAATAGAAAATTCAACGCGAGGATAATTTAACCATGATCCTCTGACGGCCAGACTTTATGAAATCTTCTTGCGTTTCAAAACTGCATTTCGTCTGATGAAGGCAAAATTCGCAAAATTCGAAAGTGGCAGTATCACATATAAGTGGCGGCTGACGAAACATTGTTGGATCAATTATTAATACATACTTAAGTCTCTTTGTCGAGAAACAAGCTGTTAAGCTCGCATTTAGCATGTCGATGAGCCCTCCAATCGCTAATTTTAGAGATTCTCATCTGCCCATTCGCGGCTCGTGATTATCACTTTAATACATGCGTAAAAAAAAATTGTCACGACTTGTTTCAGGAGATGCATTCTGTTTCTGCTTTTTCTACGCTACCAGGAGGTTTCTAAGCACTAAGACGATTGGATTAGAACTTTGGTTATTATGTAGAACCATGGAATTTGCAGGTTCGCGGAACCTTCTAGAAGCTTAGACTCCTACTTGAAATCGTAGGATCCCCTTAGAGCCTCGGAGCTGTTCCTGGATTCTTAAAAATCCTTACAATCGTCGAAGTCTGAATCTCTTTGTTTTTTTTTTTCGGCTTCTTAGACCTACGGATGCTTCGAAATATTATGCTTCGATCGCGGTCAAGTTTAAATTCTTAGATCAACGGTAGTTTAGGTTCTTATTAGATTCACGGGGGACGCTTAGTCTGGAGTTAAAAATACAGTCTTGTAAGAAATCCTAAGTTTTATATCTTTCCTTATATATGCACGAAAACGATGGCACATGTGTTTCTAGCTTGGCTTTGTAAGCAAGAATCTCTTGTCGACAATATACTTGAGCTGTGTGTACATTTCATCATTGGTCGATCAAAGGAAGGCATTGTGTACATCGACGCGCTCCGCGTTTACTGAATTATTTTTCCTTTTAATTGTAGATTCCTTGACGAGCACGCAGACCCCTCGCCATCAAGGCATCTGTCTCGTTGAGAAATAATGCGGTAATCGTCGGACAACTTCTATGTATATATTCAGAGTGCAAATTTCTTCTCGAACTTAGTTTAAACGGTAACGTTCAATCCTCTTCTCTCACTCTTTCGCCATCCCAATTCTCGTGGAAAATTCATTCATTCACTCCGCAACACTAAGGCTGAATTGCAACAAAGAAGTGAGAATCGGTAAATACTATGTTGTAAATAAGCGTTAAACATTTCTCTCTATCTATTTTTTTTCTGTTTTTGCGAATACGTAATCAATTAGAATAAAATATATATGTATATGTGCGGAGTATATATGTACAAGGTGGGCAGAGATATTGTTTTCGATTATTTTGAGGCACCTTGTACATGCATACCGTTGTATTTGGTCGACTCTCTTTCCTTCTCTTTCTCTCGCTCGCTCTTTCTCTCATTCTTACATATAATCACTCTCTATGTTATAATATTATCAAATATTATATATATAAGAATATTTTGTACGATTATATTTTTTAATAAAATAGCTGGTAAACAGTAAGTATAATTATTCAACAAGTACTACTGTAATAATAATAACATTCGGCGGTTAATTGGAAGAGACGCACAATCGAAGAGAGAGAGATTCATTCGCTTTAATGAAATTCAATTTGCTGCTCCGATTCCTTTCAGCGTCAATATGCAATATAGATATAATAAATAATATGGTACAAAGATTCTTAAAATCTCATCTCTCTATTCCAAAATCCTGGAATTTTTAAATTTTGTGTCCTCAGATCTAAAACTTGTTGATACATAAGCATTCGTTATTGCTCCAGGTTGTACATGTTATTTTTCGTATTATTCTTCATTGTCTCCTCCAATAACCGCAATAATGATAATAATAATGATAATCAATAATAACTAAGAAATTAAAAGATTTTATTTGATGAAACGAAGAAATAAAAAAAGATGAACAAGTATGTTCATTATAGAACCTCAAGGTCTCTATATATAAAATAGTTTTTGGTTATAAACTGTGAAACAGACAATAAACAAGTTACCCATTCGTAATAAACAAATAATTCTAACGTCACTGTACCAAATTTCTGCCAATATAATCGCTAGAGCTATGCCTATAATATATATAAACTGTGATAAATACGTTTTCTAAGTATGATCTTTTCACAAATCAGAAAAATGTGTGACATCATATCTCTTCTATGCGAATTTAAATACAAAAAGTTTATCCTTACGAAGGATTATTATAACTGAGTGTATGCGTGAATGATCCTTACGATCTACGTTTGCTACTTGGCAGAAATGTATTACTGTGTCTTTAGAGAAAATCTCCCTACTGTATACACGTGCGTAAAGATAATTCTTACATCCTAGGACTCTTATACGTCCTTGGATTCCTAGATCCTCAGACTTCAAGATTCCTGGGTTCTGAGATCCCTGGGGTCCAAGATCTCTGAATTCCTAGATCCTTGAACGTTTACGTCAGGACTCACAGATCTAATTGTTAAATTTTATCAGAAAGCTCGAAATCATCACATTTTCTCTTTCCAGTTCGGTGTGATTACTAAACTTTAAAACTTGCTTATAAATCCATTATTCTTTCCTTGAATTTAAAAAATTTAAGAAAGTTTTAATATACTCTTCAATTTCACCGTCCACAAATCCAGAAATTCAGAGAAATATAAGACCGTCCTCTTGTCCAATATAAATGTTGAGCTTAACATTCGCGGTAAGTAAATGTAGACAGTAGTTCAGTTTATCTTACAAAGCTAATCTCAAAGAACAGGTGACTATGTAATGGTTCTGAAACTGGTATCACTGTGAGCTTAGCGAACTGCGCGTCGCCGAGGGAATCTTCCCATCGTGCGCCTAGCAAAATAGAAAACTGCCGTTCTATTTTCTTCTGCTCCTCGGTTGGTGAGACGCGTCGTGTCGCCTCTCTCCGTAAAAAATTACATCTCGTAAATAAAAATAACGTTTCTTTCACTTTTGTACGTTGGTGGTAGTGCAAGGCCGTGGCACATATTTTATCCTACAGCAGGGGTTCTCAAACCAGTAAAAAACTACGAAGCGAAGAGCAGAGTAAAAGGGAAACGACAATGCTTTTTTTTTCTTCTTTCGTCATCGAATTACTCAGCAACATTGTCGGATCTTTAACCGAACTTTTTAATCTAATTTTTTTAAATTATTCTACCCAATTACATGTTAAAAACACTTATATGTTTAAATTCAAAATACATGCAATAAAAAACGCATTTTTATAAAAAATATAACGATGACTTTATAGTTCGAAACAGAAGTGTAAAACAACTTGAACATGTGTAAATACAATCGCGTTATCACATAGAGTAACGTTAAGATAAAACTTGAACTTTTTCGGTATGAAAAGACTGTTATATTTATAGCGTGAAATAGTGCTATAAATATAAATGTTTCAATTTCTTCATATGTTTATTATGCCGAGAAACAGTAGCAACAAAAGATATTAAAATACTAAATTGTCGCAAGGAATATTACGTAAACAACTATTTAATAAAGTCACACTCTACATATAAGAGATTAATAAATAGATTCTGGTTTAATCATTCCCGTTTTATATTTTTTTCGTTTACCTACGGAAATTCCGGGACAATAGTATAAGAATAATTAAGAGAATCTTCAATTAGTCAACTTCAATCAATTAACATATAAATTTATATCTAATAACGAATCATGTGCGATTTATATCTAATAACGAATTATACATCATGTGTGATGACTCGCATTGGCCTCTCCCTTTTTCTCTTCGATCTAATAAAAATTATTTGCAAATAAAAAAATAGAGATGAGCTACATTATGTACACTCTTTGATAAAAAAAATATGCACATGCAAAATGTATATAGAATTTTAGAATATACAGATATTTTATCTACGGACTATCTGCAACATGGACGTCGGAGAGTTTGGGAACCCCTGTCCTACACAGATTATTATATCACGAGTCGTTAAATATATAAATAGCTTCCGTAAGATCTTTTCCCCGAGCTCCCCGGCCGAATTTCGCATTTCAATCACTTGATCATTTCCGTCTGATGAATTTGGTCCGTCCGGTTTGTCCACTCGCGTTTCCAAGCCAAAATTACTCATATGATTGTTCAAACGACGTATGTAACTTGCGTGCTCGATTTCAGCAATAACATCGTGATGCTCTCTTCGCGTTGATGAAATTATTCGATTGCTCGTGGACCATCAATGGGCATCGTGTGCAACACTTCATCCAGCAACTGAAGCGCTCTGTGTAAATGCACCTAGAAAATAAAATATTAATATTAGAATCTTAAAAGATATGTGAAAAAATATAATGATTGGCAAATTAATGGAAAAAAAATTGGACTTTGATTTAAATATTTAATCTTTTATGTTTATTCGAATTCTCAAGTTAAACAAATTATCTAAGCAAAAGGTTGATAAGTTTCTGTATTATATATTGGCTTTTAGAGAATTATTATGTTATATCAATCCTTGTTGTTTTCTTTTCAAAAAAAGATTTCTGATTATAAAGATCTGCAAAGTAAAATCACGAAACATACCTCAATCCAGCATGGTGTTTCTTTTATGCTTTGTCGTGGATAATCTGGACCCCACCCCTTAACGAAACTTAAACGCAGGATACAAAGTCTTCGTAAATCGTCAACTCCAATCCCCGCAGCTGCGCTGAGACCTGAGTGATAATTACAATTTATACATACGTTATGTACTGCGACTGTATATTAAAGTATATTTAATTATACGTTATTAAACAAGCGTTATTGATAGATGCTCGGTTCTTACTTTTGGTGATAGGCGCTCCATGCGTGAGATGGCCCGCGACCGCTGCGGCTTGAGCTGCTGCGGCAGCTTGAGCAGTAGCGGCTTGGCCTCGCATCTGTTTGTGACATTGCCTTAAATCGAAGACTTTAATGTATGCCGAGGGGTAAATTTTGTGTACCGCGTCACCAGGTGCTCGGCCTGCTTCTCTATCCAGATAGTAAGACTGTACAAAGACACTGTGTTCGCTTTGGCATCTCAACCAAACGTCACCTTCACCTCTCAAATCCAATACAACGCCCTTCCCTAAAATGTTTCATTTTAGTCATTGGACAATTGCAATATTCTTTTGCTTATCTATTTTAAAAACTCTCAATATTGAGTTACAATTACCTATATGAAGACGCGCCCGTTCGCTCTGTTCCGTTCTATGTACGTTGCTCAAGGCACCTAAGCAGAATCTGTTTCCGCCGCTCGGATCCACGTAACCGTCTACGGTAACCGTGGGACAACCGCTGCTGACTTTAAACGTTTCTCCGACTTGGATGTCCAATTCAAAATAACCGACGGAACACCAATATTCTGGTGCTGGTTGCGTAGAGAGCAATCCTCCGATGTTTCCACTGACGTCATTTCCGTGGCCTCCCCCTGTTTCATAAAAGTATTAGATTCGATTTAAAGTCATGCCGCTGAATTATAAAGTTTAAAAAGAAAGAAAGTAGAAACTTGAGAATTTTTCTTCGGCTTAATATAATTGACTTACAATATGACGTCGTATGAAGATGTCGAGGATCTGGTGGTTGCATACTTTGAGTATATGTGAGAGTATTGGCACCAGTCCATTGCGGCGCACCGGAATTGTATGGTGCTGTACCCACAGGAAAGCCGTTTGGATGATGAAGATGCACAGGTGACACAGGAGAACTCTGTCCTTCACCTATTTAAACCATATAATAAAGATTTTAAAATGCTTGCGTTAAAAATGCTAGGAGGAAAATCCAGATCCTTATAGGATCAGCACTTAAAAGGAATATAGCAATTTTTCTGCTAATTCAGCAAGGTACGCTAAGAATTTATTATATACCCAGAGAAGCCGCCAACGCGTCGACTGTCGGGGGTTGATTGATGTCCTGTGGGGGTGTGGTAGTGCTGTAGAACGTATCGGCGGTCGATTGTCCTTGCGCAGGACTCAGAATCTGCGCGCCGGACGTTCCGCTCGATGCGGCATTCAGCGACTGTTGCTGGCTACCTACGGTGTGACTCATTGGATGTACTACTGCTGTAAAATCAAAATTCATACACGATGCAGGCAACATAAAATATTAAGATGCAACGAACATGGCCCTCGCTATCGTCGCTCTGAAACTGATCACTGCGCGAATCGGTGTTTCCCAAAGAGACATTCTGAATGTTCTGATAGTTGATTCTCGATCTCTGGCTATTGCAGAACTCTCCAATTTCAAGACTCTTAAGTTCTTCTAAAATCAAAATTTTGTCACTTTGATTTGAAATATTATGTTGATATCCGAAACACATCAGTCAGATATCGTTGCACATGTTCTACCCATCTTTCTGTTTGTACTCACGATTTCGATTGACTGAAACGCTTTCAAATACATCTTACGTTTTCTGTGAAATAAATTCA